GACACTTTATGACTGATATAACTGAGATATTTATGATATCTCAGCTATATCAAAACTATTTGAAAAACAAAATTTACAAACAGCTCTACTCTTACTTGGTAAAATTCAACATACTAAGTCCATAACTGTTAACCATAACTACCTCTTACTTAAACTCCACCATTACAGAATCCGAGGTCTTGCCCTGAACTATATTCGATCCTATCTTAGTGACAGACACCAATATGTAGCTATCAATGATATAACCTTTCCCACTCGACCATTAACCGTAGGGGTGCCACAGGGCAGCAATCTAGGACCTTTCCTATTTCTTATATTCATCAATGATCTGCTAACATTGTCTCTAACATTTTTAAACCTATATTATTTGCTGACAATACTACCCTCATCTACTCAGACCCCAACCCACACACATTAAATCATGTTGTAAATAAGGAATTTAAAAAGTCCACTTATGAATGGCAACCAACAAACTCACACTAAACATAGAAAAGACCTACTACATCTTATTTGGAAGCAAATCAACAAATGCAATTCAGCTTCAGATAGACAATGTTAACATCAGCAATAAAAATGATAGAAAGTTCCTTGGCCTATACTTAGACAAGAGACTCAACTTCAGCACCCATATACAAAATATAACAAAGAAAGTCTCAAAAAACGGTTGGTATACTCTCTAAAATCAGATACTGTATTGTGTTCCAAACTCTGCTCTCCTTTCACTATACTACGGGCTATTCTATTCCTATCTTACATATGGTATCTGTGCATGGGGCTCAACCTCTGCAAACTACCTCAAGCCCATCATCACCCAGCAAAAATCTTCTATCAGAACAATAACAAACTCTGTGTTCAGACAACACTCAGCCCCCCCCCCCTTGTTTAAATCTCTAAAAATGGTAAACATAAACTCACTCCACACATTCTCTTGTACCATTTACATTTACAAAATTCTGTTCTTAAATGCAAACGCTGTTCTGAAACTCTTCTTGGACAGATGTAATAGAACCCATAATCACCACACCAGAAATAAAAATCTCGTTGATATCCCCAGTCAAACTTAATCTGTGTAAATACTCTATGCAAATAAAGAGACCTAGTCAATGGAACTCACTCTAACGAATTGAAAAGCTGTCCAACTTTTGCCTTATTAAAAAATAAAACCAAAAAGTACCCAAATTCATTTTCTTAGTTTCCTACCTAGTGCTTTAAACTCTTACTGTATCTAGCGTTACCCAACCCCCCAATATATGTACCAAAGCCATATAACTTTACCATTGTAATCATTGCTATCATCTTATATCGTGATTGTTATACTGAACGCATATTTTATCTGCATTATACCTTGAAATAATCCTCAAATTATGATTCAATGTACCTGTTGATAATCCTCAAATTTTACTTTATTGTAGCTACTAATTTTTGTCAAATTTTCTTACAATGTTCCTATTAACATTTTCTAAATTTTGTTAGAAATTACCTACTTAAAATTATCTTTTAGATTAAGGACCTGCCCGAAACGCTATGCCTATTGCGTATCTTGTAGGCTTTACAAAAATGTAAAAACATCAATGCTATGTACTCTCATAAACCCAATGTACTTTTTGTTGTATATATATATATATATAAATCTTCTTCCAGCTTAAGTGATACTCCCTTCCATTATTATTATTTTTTTAAATAAATAAATAAATAAATAGGTAGTGAGTGACGTCACGAGGGTTCGAAACCTCACTGAAGCGGCTGGGACTCGAACCACCGACCCCTGTAAGCACTGATCAGCTGACGATGGCAACACAACGCAGTCCAATATTTACTCTTTGAAACTGATCTTGTAAGTTGCTTCCTATATTTATACAGGGTATAACCTCGCTTTATATATTTTCTATATATAAGGAGGTATTGTTGTTGGTATCCTATAGGCCTATAGGAGCCTTGTAAGGGGAGTTTCTTCGTGTATACTGTGTGTGTATCCAGGCACAGGGGGGTGAGTTTACCTGTGTGGGGCGCCTAGTTTACTGGTCTACACAGTCTTCCCAGCTTGGGGCCTTCTTTTGATAATTACTTACTTACTGGTAGAGTTTTATAGTGGGGGATTATGGTCATGGGCAGCAAATTACTGTTCTATTAAAAGAGATGTTGCTGTAATTACCTAAGTGTAGTTACAGGATGAGAGCTTCGCTCGTGGTGTCCCGTCTTCCCAGCACTCTTTGTCATATAACGCTTTGAAACTACTGACGGTCTTGGCCTCCACCACCTTCTCACCTAACTTGTTCCAACCGTCTACCACTCTGTTTGTCTTCTGGCATGTTTCTGTAGACAGTATGGAAGTTAGGTTAGGATAGTTAAAAGTGAGTTGGAAATGAGGTAAACTGTAGGTTTGGGTCGTCACCTATTATCCATATTATCTATCTAGTTCCTACCATGCTTCAAAGTGTAGCATAGTGTGGTTAACTGGATCTTGTGATTTGTCCTGACACCACTCCTAAATGTGCTGTGTTCCATTGGTTATCCTTGCAACCCGTCCTCTTAAAATAGTCGCTTTTCGCTTGTATGTGCGCTATGGTAAAAATGGACATAATTTGAAACAAAATTGGCTCACGAAAGTGATGTATTGTCCTGTTTTCTGTTTGAGTCCTCCGGCTTACTCGATTAGGCTAGGAGAAGAAACTTTCAATTAACGGTTTTCATGACGTTTTAAAGCTTTAGAACTTCTTGCCCTCCTAACCTGCCAGAGGACTCTTAACTTGTTGTTTTGGAAAAAAAATCCAAACTTTATTTTCAACTATTTTTAGTTTCAAATTATGTCCATTTTTGGCCATATGGGTAAACGACCAAATTCAGATGTAATTTGTAAGAGGACACGTTGGTCCTTGATTCTCAGACTGCCTTGGCCCTTAGCATACCTGTGATTATCATACTATCCACCTCACAAGTCAAGCTTGGCCTCGGGCCGGGCTTGCGGAGTAGAACTCCCAGAACCCCATCAACCAGGTATCAACCACCCAGGTATAAACTGCTGCTGGATGGTGGCAACCCAAGTGCAGCACTTTCCTCAGAAGCTTAAAGAGTGGGATTATCAACACACTAAAGGAAAGGGCTTTGTTTAAATATAAAATAATAAAAACGTACAACTGGAAATTACTGAAATCCTTGGCAAAATAAAAATAAATTATTGAAATGTAAAGGTACAGTATTGCACTTCCTTTTAGTTCCATGACCACAAGTGTTGTAATAAAGCCTGCATGAGAAGGTGGGGTATGACTTGGATTCTTGTTAAATAAGGTGGTCATCACATCAAAGTGTTAAAGATACTTAAAAACTAAATTACCCCTTATACATTAGTATGTGTTGATTTTGCCAGTAGCAACTTCATAGCGTCCTTATAGTAATAATTCTGCTTTGTATTAACCAATTAATGGATTCCCTTCATACAAAAGATTTTATTTTGTATTTTTTGTGGCCATAACATGCAGTACAGTGGTATCTCCCAAAATCTGGGTCTTTTCGTGCCAGGCCTGATCCGTATTCATGAAATAATATAATAACAATAATTCACTATGTCGGAGGACAGGAAGCCAGAGTGTATTCATACACAGGCTTTTTATCGATGTCCTCTTCCCCACCCCTCCCCCAGAGTTTGAATTACTGGTCCCGCCCAGGATGCAACCCCAAAACAAGCTTACTGACTCCCGAGTACCTACATGCTGCTAGGTGCTGCTACGTGCTGGATTAGGTGAAAGGAAATGTGCCCAACCATTTCTGTCCCACCTTGGATTCAAACCCAGAATTCTTGATTGTGCGTCGAAAACGAACCTGACTGTACTACCGGGACTCTTTAAATATCCGGATTGCAGAAACCTTGCCATTTTTTGCATATTTATCTCTTAAATATATCATAGTTTTATTAAAGCAAACGATAATCTGCATTCTCTATATTTAGACACAAATAATGTATAATTATATATTTTGATGGCTTTAAGATTTTTATGTCAGAACGTTTACCACCATTGCTCTCTCTCTCTTGCCGACAGATTATGTAAAAAAAATTCCTAACATTTTATGCCAGAAACAGTACTAATGCCAATGCCATGTTCCTCTTTCAACCACTTCTCTCCTCTGATCAAGCTTTCTTATTAACTTATTAACTGTGTTTTATTACTGATGGTCAGGAAGTTCCTTATACCCTTATCTGATGTAGCCTTTCTACTCCTGCTTGAGGGAAGGGTTTCAGTTTGCAAGTACAGTAAGGCCAGATCTAGAGAAATATTAGTGCTAATGCTTGATAGTACAGTTTAGATTCATTTCACACATGCAGAAAATGCATAGTGGCTTGCACTCATCGATTTTCAGGTGCCTCAGAAGGAAAAGTCACAAACTCTGTGGAATTTATAGTACTGTACTAGTACAGTACAATCGCATTGAAATACCAAAAGTTAAAGCACACAGCATTTCTAATAATTATTAAAAATCCAAGAGTAGAAAAAATGGGAAAACCAAAAATACAATTGGTTGGAAATTACTAAACAGTGTGCCGTGATCCAGATTTCACAGCAGTGGGTCCAGAAACTGGATCAAAATTCAAAATTCTTTTATTTAGGAGTAGCAATTTGGTAGTAAAATTGGTCGGTTGTTTAAAGGGATCTGCAAAAAAGAGCTTTGAATTTGGGAGGCACTGCTGATCGATGTGAAGCTTGGTTAAATTGCATGTACACAAATAATTTATATATTATTGCATACAAATAAATGTTCATAGCTGGAATTCTAATTCATAAGTAAATTCATAAAAGCATAATTCATTGTGTCCGGGGACAGGCAGCCAGAGTGTATTTATACACGTTAAGCTTATAAAGTATTGAGGGCTCCCCCCCCCCCCCCCCCTAAGATTGAATTACTGACCCTCCTCAGGATGCCACCCCACAACAAGCTGACCGACTCCTGGGGTACCTACTTACTGCTAGGTGAACAGGGGCATTAGGTGATAGGAAATGCGTCCAACCATTTCTGTCCCACCCGGGTTCGAATACGGAATTCTCAATTGTGAGTCGAGAACAAACCTGACTGTACTACCGGGACCCAAAGCAGTACAGTAATGCAGTTCATTCTATATATTTGATCCAAAGAATTATTAACCTTTTTTACACCAGGTATTTAAACCTCAAATTTTTCTGTATGAGATAATTTGGTTAGGTGAAATAGATACCTACATGATATAAACATGAAACTTTTATTTTAAATTTAATGAAAGATAAGTTAATTTGAAGCTTAAATAAAGATTTGCCCGACACTGATAACTTATCAGGAATATCAGAATTTTGCTTGCTTTCATGATTTAGCAGCTCAAAGCTTCAGGAAAAAAAGGTAATATGAAAAGCTATTTGATTTTGTATTAGTGCTAATAATCCATTTCTTAGTTTAAAAAGTAGATAAATTAAGTAATACACTATATATTTCAGACTAAAGTCATCATGGGGAATCAGCTGGCGGGCATTGCCCCCTCGCAGATATTCCCAGTGGAGACTTATCTCTCGGATCTTCCAGACATTCAATATGAAGCAAGGCAAGTAATAATATATATATTGATGTTTAAACTTTTGTTAAGGCTAACATCCTAATAATTTTTTTATAATAATTATATTTCCAATATATATACAGTACTGTAACACTATTTTTCCCAATGATGCAATTGGTTGTCCTGGGAGTGTATCTTTTTGTTTTTTCCTATGATCTCGAAAAATGATGTTCCAGTTGGTAAGTATATGAATGTAGTCTTGTGTAATTGGCTTTGTTTCCTGGGAGTTACCCCTCAGTAGTTCCCCAAGCTCTAAGAGCTGGTACTGCATGCTGCCACTAATTGCGCGAGGCCTCTTGGATCCACCCCATGCCTACCAGAAAGCCAAGGCCAGAATCTAGCTAATTTTGAGATGTAGAGAGTTTAGCAATCGGAGATTAACCAGAAACTGTGGAAAATCCCTTGCAAGGAATAAACACAACCAAACAAGTAACTGCTTGAAGGAAATTAGGAACCACAAGAGTTAAACAAGGCAAATGATCAGTGTTACAGGGTAATCACCCGTAACCATGATGTATGTTTGTATGGGTTGGATTATTTATTTCAGGCAAGTTATTGTGACTTGTTCTCTGCACTATACATGATATTTATTGAGAACCATTTTGTGTCAATAGCCAGTTATTTGGGTGATGTAAATTATTGCAGTGATGGCATGTTTTGTATTCAACCAGGTACCAAAACAAGTGCCATAATTAAATATATTTTGGATGATACATGTGTTATAATTGCTATGTTTATAATATGGGAAAACAAGTGGCACTTCATTGAATGCAAATATTTACTGCACTTTTGTTTTGTTTTTTCAGTTTTAATTGTTTTTCATTTGAATCCACAGCTTAGGGAGTACACGCTTTTTGAAGGTGGCCAAATGCCAGACGTGGGAAGGCTTGGTGGTTGTAAAAGTATTTGTTATTCATGATCAATCCCTTCAGCTCCCCATTTACAAGAAAATGGTTGAAGAAGTATCTACAAAACTTATTACGGCTGCAAATTGTCTCCAATTTCACTATTTAAAGGTACTGGACTAACCAATGTGAATTGCAATATCACATAAGTATATTTTCCATACTGATTTATTTATTAATTTAATGAATTATTAACAGACACAATGAGAAGTTAATAAATGTAGGTGTCTGCTGCCAGGCTTTTTTTAAACATTAAAAAAACATTTTTCTCTCTTTAATAGGATTATAGAGCATAAAAATCTAAACATAGTTATAATAAAACAAGTCTTTGTATTTAGATAAAATGCTTCTTTATGAACAGGTCACTCAGTCACTCCCTTAGGAATTATCGTGCTTCCTTTTGGAAAAATTGCTGAGGCTAGTTAGAATGCTACCTTCACATCTCCAGTGCAGTGGTAAACATTTTAAATTGTTCCTACCAGGCTATACGTGGTGGAACTGAGATACTGGAGAATTCTCAGTTCCTTATTGAAGGACTATCAGAAAAATGTCTCTACACTAACATCATCGCCATGCAACATTTGGAAGCAGACCAGAAATATTACTCTGTTAATAATAACAACAAATTACAGTATAAGTTAATTATCTGCTGGCAGTATTGGACACATCAACAAATAAATGATGACACTGAAGCAACCAAGTCCCCTACTCGGAAAAGAGCTTTTGAGCTTAAGCCCTTATTGATCTTAGACTACTTGGTTGTTCCAATAGGAAAAAATCATATGGTCAACTGTAGCAAATACAGAGAAAGAAAAATATATAAAGGACATCATGCCCCATGCAGAAGAGAACCTGCATGGGGAATTTAGTTAGTTGGGAGTTAGAGGGGGAGGAATAGGAGAACTGCAGCCCCAGAGCACCAGATATTCAGGGTCAGAGATGAGTGGGAGGAGCAACACCCTAAAATCATACACTGGTGGCAAAGGTGAGGAAGATGAACTTATGGATCTTCTTCTAAACCCCAGGCCCAAGAGTTCAAGTAGAAAAGAAAGCTTTTGAGAGTGGCAAACTTCTGCTGATCAAGGCATGTTCCCTCATCTGACTAAGCATGACCAACTTGTCGATGAACCAAAACAGGCAAGCATTGAAACTGAGAATCCTGGTACATTGGTTGTGGAAGACAGCATGAGACTGGGCGTGCTGAGACGCTGAAATACGACGATGACGATGGCATAGAACATCCTATAGGGACCTCGATGTGCTTAACAGGCTTTCTGCCCACGACAACAGTAAAGCTATTGGTTACCTCGATGGACATTGAGAAGAAAGTTTAACAAGATGTTCAGTTTATTTCAAGATGGAGTAGCTCGCATACCATTTTGTAGAAGCAAATGGATAGACTCTATGCTTAATTTATAATCAAATTCTATAATATGTGCCATACAGTTTCCATGGCATCAATATAATTTTTATGTATTAAAGATAAAGTACTGTAGAAGAATAAATTACCAGGTAACATAAGACATGGTCTTGGATTGTTTCAAGAGTAAGTCAGACATATCAATGAATTAGCAGACAGTAAGTCTCAATTATGTGGCTGAAAATTAGACACCCAATCCACACATCTGAAAATAAAGGTCATGAAGATATTTTGGTCCATCCAGAAAAAGCGGTAGAGAAAGTCTGTGTGCATATAAGTTAAGAATGTGAAGTGAACAAATGAGAATGTATGAATTGTACCTTAGGAGTAAATAGGAATAACAAATTACAAAAGGCCTAATTGTAAAGGGAAAGAGGTGAAAATAAAACAAAAGAGAAAGAAGAGAGAGCCTAGAGAAGCTAAAGGCAAGTCAGTGAGCGTTAAATTTGAACGAGTTTGGATAGTTATAATAAATACTGTGATATACTAATTCCCACAATATATAAGCTCCATAAACATATTCATACTATTTTATTTTATTTCAAATAAGACAAGAGTAAGATAAAACAATAAATAGATTATTAATGTGAGAAACATTAAATGCTTTAAATACCAGTGCCTTTAGCAGAATGATGGTATGCATTTACCATTTTGTTTTTATTCACACATATCTATGAAAGGAAGGTGATATTTTTACATTGATTAGTATATACTGTACAGTTGGTTTTGTCTCCAAGAGGTATAAATGTTTTTAACAGTAGCAAGCACAAAAGATCCTGATGAAATTGGATTCAGAATGCAACAGTTAGAGTCCAGTTAGCATGAATAATATAGAATAAATTAATATATTGAATTGTTATATTTTTATTTAATATATTTTCTTTTTATGTTATAGGTGACGGAAAAGGCTGGATTGATGTTCAGACAATATGTGAAGAGTAATCTGTATGACAGAATATCCACACGACCCTTCCTAACGTCAATTGAAAAAAAATGGCTGGCATTTCAGATCCTGTGTGCACTTAATCAATCTCACCAACAGGGGGTAAATTTACCTTTTTTTGTGTGTAATGTTGCTATCTACAGTACAGTATATCCTTTCTCAAATTTCTGTTTTCATCTACAGTATGTATATTCTAATGTCGTGTTTCCTTCAGGAACGCCTTTTTCAGGGAATGTATGCTACCTTATCAAAATGTCTTTTCCTAATGATAGCCTTTTCATATGCTGTCTGTGCTATAGAGACAGTAGTACACAGAGAGGGCAGATGGTTGGAATGCATTATTTTTTTAGAATTGGGATAAACAAGCTTTACCACAGTTGAAAATTGTTTACAAGCGAGTGAATGATGGGCAAACACTAAGAGACAGGAAATTCAGAAGCACAGTAAAATAGAACATTCTCTGTAACTAGCTGACATGTAACTATAAGGTGTGAAGGATAGATGAAATTGTTTATGTAAAAATCTAAGATGAGGTCTGATAAAGACCTTTTGTGCCCTCTGTAATGCTTTTGCGCTACCGCTCACAGGATGAGTATGGGGTGCACAATAAACTAGCCGCCTCCGGAGGCAACAATAAAAACAGTAAAACAAATATTTTGGTTACTTATAAGTGTAAGTAAGGTAAGGTATTTCTACACCACCTCAGTGAAGCAGTACATGTTAGAATTTACTGTGAGGAATTCAAAAATGAAAGTTAAAATAATACAGAAAAGTTACATGAAATAGTGTGAATAGTAACAAGATAAATAAACTAGTTTGAACAGTATTGCAGTGTGAAAGAACATAATGGAATGGCATTATCCTTTTACACTACCGGATATTTCTATGTATATATTTATACGTATGAGGATGAGCCTGCTTATGGACTGTTTTGAGCAAGGCAACGTTTACACTTAATGTACGTACAGGTGTTGGAATATAGTATTATCTAAGTGAACCTATGCTTAAATCTGGAGTCACTACTGTAGACAGTGAGAGATAGAAAATGGGTAAACAAAAATTAGTTATTAAACCAATTGGGATATGATTGTGTTGAACATTGAAAACTAACTCAAATCACATTAGAAATTTAACATTGCCTTTCTCATCTACGATTAAACTTTGGTGCATTGGATTACAGTACTAGCACAGAACAATAAGCACTTTGTCAACTTTACTGTAATCTTTGGGACATCACTCCAACATATGAAAGACAGTAATGTACACTATTGCTAAAGCTACAAAGTCTATAATAAAGTTCTATATGATTTTTATCAATAACTGTCACTTGAAAGTTGTTCAGACAGTATTATAAATACAGGTGCTTTGCTTAAATTAGGACATTATATGGATATTGGCACCTATAATTTCTGATGACTGTATTCATCAGCAGGTTTGTCATGGAGACATCAAATTAGAAAATGTTATGGTGTCTTCATGGAATTGGCTTCTACTGGCTGACTTTGCAACCATCAAGCCTACGTTGCTTCCCGAGGATGATCCAGCAGATTTTACATATTACTTTGACACTTCCCGCAGACGAACATGCTACGTTGCACCTGAAAGGTAAGTGCAGGAACTTAATGTAGTTAATTAGAAAAGTTTTAGGTCTATAGGGCAATCCTTCATGTTAAAACCTTTTCTAGGTATGGTACTGTATTTCCTATGAAGGCTTGAATGATTATGAAGGCTTGTGATTTTCAACATGATTTTTCATCAATGTGTATGTATGTAAAAAACTTACTAACCATAATTGGGGAGGAAGCCCACTACCCAATAAAATCCTGCCATCTTGGAGAGCTTCTAAGGCATGATTGATTAGAGGTGATGCTGCCTCTTCGTTTCCTTTTTTGGAAAACTACATTTTCGTAGATGTGGGGATTTCATGGTCTGACAATCCAGAAAGCATTTTAGTGTGACATAAAATGTCTCATTATCAAGGAAGAGAAGGCAGTGTTCCATCCTCTAGGAATAAGACTTGTGGTCTTTTTGGATCAAAGAGCTAGTTGCCTTTCCCCCCCCTCTTTGACTCCCTGTAGTTGAGTCCAGACAATTGTAAAATTAAACCTAAAGGTTAGATTAATATTTATTTTTATATGGTGCTAGGAGCCTCATTGTTATGATGCTAGAACTCTTTTTAGGCTTTATCTCCCTATAAAATAATTCATCTCTGCTTCGGCAGCAGTCAGACGCCACAAATGCCAAAAGCAGGACCTTCGGCATTTATATTTGCCAATTTGTTTGGTATGTGATATTTAGTTGCGATAAATAATAACAATAATAATTTCAGGAAGGGTAGTATGTTTAGGGTCTTGGAGGTAGGCATTGCAGGAATATATGTAAACAATCTGTGTAATGAAGCTGATTAGATGATGGAAAAAATATCTTGGTACTATGACTTATCATTGTATATGATTATGTATTGTAAAAATATTTATTTTGTTTTATTATTTATATTACATTCAGAATTTCAGGTGTTACATATTGTAGAATGTTGTACGTAGCAGTATTCATCATATACTGTAAATGAGTCTTGTGCATACTATTTTCCCATTAGGTTTATCAAGACTCTGCAGATGGATGCCAACCAGCTGATGTTGGAAGTGAAAGACAAAGGGCATCTCACACCAGCTATGGATGTTTTTTCAGCTGGGTAAGTTAAAATACATTGATAAACATTAATGGACCTTGGAAATATATATATGTTTAAAAACAAATCTGTGTAAAACATCAAATTTTGATGTTAAAACCAAAATAAAAAGTTAGTTGAAACCCTTATTTTTGAACTCTAACTGCAGAGCTTCCCTAGCCCTGCACTCGTACTTTGGTAAGACAGACACCCCCTTCTCCCTCTAAGCTCTGAGTGACTTACACTCTGTAAAGGTAAGTATCTTGCTCTAAACCTACAGAGAAACGTGCAAAAGAACAGAATAAGCTGTAGAAAAAGTCGAAATTGACAATAGGTTACATGTAACAGACAGCAGCACTTACACACAAGAAGCTAGGAAAGCTTGGCCTGCCCACTTTATCAAGCACTTAAATATTGGGTGAGGTGTACAAGTGAGGAACACAGTTTCATTGTGCTCGATTTATTTCTGAGTGGAACCTCGGTGTACAAATTTAATCCATTTCCAAAAATGCAATGTAACCCGAATATATATATACCCATATGTATCATGCTACTGTGATTTCTTTGTGCACCAGAATTTGGGGTATCTGATGATGAACTACTTTACCTACACCAAAGTGTAAGGGTAATTATAAAGTTATATGTAAACCTTGATAAACAATTGTACAATTTACAGTGCAGCTCAGTAAAACATTTATAAAATATAATTACATTGCAATGTAAGTATTATTCAAAATAAATATAAATAAAGACAAGATTAGCAAAAATATGAAAAAATGCAATATGATGGAAATTACTTTGTGATGAATTGATGTTTTAAATTTCACCACACGTCTCACCAAATTTATTTTTTTCTTTTAGAAATCTAAATTTTGGAGAGAAAATATGGTGGGAGGATTTGATCTGTTATTTAAAAGGGATCTATTATATGGAGCTCTGTTTTGAAGGTTGCAATATATATGTAATATTTGACTTCTTGGGAACACTTGTGGCTTGGTACCAAGTTACTTGGACCATATTTTGTTAGAAAATCTCTAGAATTTTCTTTTTCTTGTTCCAAGTTAAACCTTCAGCTCTAAGGAACCAGAGGAAAAGAGGATGCCTTTTTCTTGCTAGACATGAATACAGTACAGTACAAATATGAAAGAAAATAATAACACAAAATGTCTTGCTGTTCTACTCTTAGTAGAAGTTCAAATGCTCCAGATATTCCCCAAAATGTGTACAACAGAAGGTGAGAAGGCCCTTGGCTCTACGTATTTTAAATGAGACTCCACTGTATGCCTTGTTATTTCTGCTGAAGTTTCCATTTGTCTTAGTGAGAAGGTATTTATCTTAACCCCTCAACTGCGCCAGCCAACAAATGTCGTTTTGAGAGTTGTCCTTTTTTTTTTTAGGCTATATTTTAATGTTTTGTAATGTTTTCATTATTTGTGTTTTGAAATGAAAATAGTTGAGTTTGGAAACATTTTGACATTAACTTTACCTGAACATTTATAAAAACTAACAAAAATATGCCCTTAACAATTGCACTATGACATTTTTGCCAAAAAACAGGTGCGCAGTGCAGGGGTTAATGACTGTATAACCTAACCTTATAAAATGATTATATTTTCACTTCCAATTCTATGCACTCACCTATTTTGATGACCAGTTAAGCTGAAGCTCACTTTCTCACTTTATAGGTGCTGTTTGGCTGAATTATTCACCGAAGGATATGCACCCTTCGATCTAACTCAGCTTCTGGCATATCGAGTTGGTGACTACTACCCCAATAAAGTGCTTGACAAGATAGATGAACCTAGAGTCAAGGTTAGCTTTTTGTTTCCTTTAGATGTTTCTCTCGAGTCGAATATTTTCTGCATACTGTACAGTATATAGAATGAGTTTTGAGTGAATATAAATAGGAGCTGCCTCATAAGGGCCAATAGGCCTTCAACAGTTTCCTTTATATAATGAAAACATTTTATATTAAGTCTACTAGTATTAATTAAAAGGTTCAGAACTTACCTATTTTGCTATATTACATATATATAAAACAAAACATTTAAGCTATGTACAATTGCATTTACAATTATTGTTACATAGGTAACAATAATTACAAGAAACTGGAGCAGGTTAGCAGGTCTTAGTAACTAATATATGTTGTATAAATTGGTTTATTGAACCAGAGATGAAGTGTAGCATGAAAATATGCATGAAAACCCTGTGCAGTGTTTTGCAATGGTAACAAAGGTAAAATAAAAATAAAAAAGTGGAAGAATAGTGTCAGAGTAACCCAGCTGTTATAAAGCTCCTTTAGACCAAATAATAAAGAAGGAACAAAGAGAAATAATTAGGGCTTTTGTCATCATTTAATTAATAGAACAGTACAGTATTTGCCTCATTAACTCACTAACTGCAGCCGAGTCACCTAATTTAATCAGACTAGTTTATATCTCACTATTAATAATATTAATTCTATGCTCATGTTTTTCCACCTTTCATGATGGGTAGGCTTTGGTTGAGCATATGATCCAGAGGGATCCTAGCAGTAGACACACTGTTGCAGAGTACCTGGAGCAGGAGAGGGGAGCCACATTTCCTGAACATTTCTACACATTCCTCTGGCCATTTCTCAAGCAGTTTGCAGTTACACCGATCATGCCTCCTGATGACAAGATCAGACAGTAAGCACATTTCTTTTGTATTTTAATCTTTGAATGAAACTTCACTTTGTGTAAATCATTTGGTTTGGTTATCATTAAGGAGGGGCTCGTAAAAGGTAAAGGAACAATCTCCCTGGCAGAGGTTTGTTGTTAACCCCTTGGAAAGCACAATTCTCTCAGTCCTGGTTCACTACTGTTCTATTTGTAAAACATTAAATAAAAATCCAGCATTGAATTAAATGCCTCTTTCTGGTGGGTCCCCAGGTAGCTAGGGAGGCCTTCCAGAAAATGTTTTTGTTTTTTGCAAATCAAATTAAAAAAAAATCATTCCATATACTTTCTTGGATATACTGTACAAAATTTCAAATTAATTAAATTCTAATACCGATTTCAGTTTCTAAAATTTAGACAAAGTTAATCCATAATTTTATGTTTTCTTGTTGGATTTGGAAAATAATAATTTAAATATTTGGGCTGGCCCCTTAGAGAAGGGGAGCATGGGAATCTAAGATGTGCCCAAAACCCCCCAAAACTGACCAGAAATTACAGGCAAGACAAAATAAACTGTGTGAGCTAAATATGAGGAGTATAATAAGGCAAGCAATAGCTTTCCAGAAGTAAATAATCATAGTACCAGTACTCGTGTACACCATCAGATAGCAGCTCGGTTCAACGTGTTACCCAGCTGGCCTTCACTCCTGCTTGTGAGCCCAGTACCACTTATAATGTAGAGTATTCTGTGTGGATCTTTGCATCTGCTTTTTGGATGAGTAGTGTATCATTTCTTTGGACATTGTTGTATTAATGCAAACCATCTTGCAAAACTCTAGTATATTAATATGCTTAAAGATTGCTTCAGAACTCTTTATTTTAACATGTACACTGATTTAGTGATTAATACATAATTTTTTTAAATTTCAGGATAAAAAATTGCTTAACTGATATATTAATAGCACTGGGGGCCGAAAATGAAGCGTCTAAAAACAATGAAGACATGGAAGAGGAAAAAGAGAAGTCAGATTTGGAGAAGCCAGAGAAGAAGTGTGAAGCTCTCATCATTATTGCCTCTCTGATCACCTCCTCTCTCAGGTAATGCAGTACAGTATTCTCTTTCATGGATGAAACATATTATGAAAATCAAATAAAAAATATCAGGTGAAATTTCTAAACTAAAATAAAATTTTCTTTAAATGAACACTAAACCCTCACATTAAAAATGTGAAAAAGTAATTACTTTTCGGTCTGATAGTGGTCGAGGACTTTCCAAAAGTCATCATTTTTTCCATTTTTAAAATGTGTTGGTTTTAGTGTTTATCTATTATCCACTTTTCTGTGACTTAGTTTTCGCTCTCAGTATTTACAAGCTCTAAATTTTGGTGTTTGGATTTTTGTTATTTGAGAAAGAGGGCTAATGCCAATACAAAACTGCTTTATGCCATCATCCTTCTTTCCCTGCCTCTATCACTTTTCTACACCAATTCAATCTTTTTGTTCATGTTTAAAAACATTTCCTTCTCCTACCTGGTTTAACGAGACTACTCATGTGGGCAGACATCTTTTCTTCACACAAATATTTGTGTTAAAAATTGCATAAATATTGTATAGAAACGAGGCAACACTACGATAGCACAGAGAGAGAGATCACAGTGCATACGTACATTACCTATTACCGTAGTTTTGCCAGTTCTTCCCACTTGGTAGAGACTGTCTCTGTCTGCTCAGAGGCCATATGCTTCAGGCTAGGCTTACCCAAATAGGCAGAGTGAATAGTGATAGATGGATTTATAGATGGACAGATAGGTGGATAGGTAGATAAATGGATGGACAGATGGGAGAGAGGCAGACCTGGGTAATGCTGGGTATTCCCTCCTTCCCTAGTATACATATACAGTAGGTTTTAGAAAGAGTACTGTATTAATAAAGGTGGAGATCCTCCTAGTGACTGTAGGTTATGTTAGGATACTTCAGAGTCTGTTGGCAGCCAAGACAGGTTACTGAAGAACCCAAAAATGGTTTGTAAATCATGTGTACTGTCGTATTAACAGAGAGAGAAGGCAGTATCATTTACCATATATATATATGTATATATATAATATAATATACATATATATATATCATGATACAGTGTTATCCATGCAGAAGGGAGGACAAAATGAGAAACAATAATGTGGTAGTTGGTACCATTCTTATATATCACTCGTGTTACTCCAGAGGTAACATTCTTGTACTGTATATCACTCATGATATTTGTATCTTTTCTAATTTCTTTGTTCAAAGCTTTTACAATGTTCACTATACTCACTGAATGACAAGATTCTTTTTAAATAAATAAAACACAAATATTAATTAAATCTTGAACAGACTTCTTTACTAGGTAAGTTATAAAGAACTTCTAAATGTTACCTTTGCTGTTGATTAATTTTAAAAATTTTGTTTAAAAATCTAATGGAAAATATTTCTGCTCAAATACTAGAAATAACTAGTTAAAGACTTATGGATTGTACTTTTTTATAAACTTTGTTTGAAATGTGACTAAATAATTTTTCAGAGCTTTGCATTTCACATCTTCAAAACTGGATGCTTTGCAACTCTTAGGAAAAGTATCCCAGTATGTGCCGGACGAGATCATTCTGGATCGGATATTACCCTACACTGTAAGTGCATTACAGTCTTGAGAAATGTATATGTAATTTTTACAGTATTTTGTAGTGTTTATATAGAACATTTAAAAATGCAAATGATGTTCATTGTCATTGGTGTGAGTGGATAAAGTTTCTCTCTCGGCCGGACATTTTATGGCCAGCACTGAATGGGTGAATGTGGGATTTCCTCGCCCTTAATTTAGCAGACTTCGATAGGTCTAACAGGTTTGTGTGACCGACAGTGGTATACCATACCATGACATGTATGTTAGTCATTTATTTATACATGTGAGAACATGTAAAATTTATATACGTACTGTATAAAGAATATACTGAGTATGTAATAAAGCATGATGGTTGAGGTGTACTTTTAAAATTTGTTGCCTTTATTAAGCCGCTAATTATATTGGCTTTGTTGATCATTTCTCTTCCAAATTTAATATATATGCCAGATATATCCTACTTTTCTAAAAAAATTACTGATAATTATCATATAAATTGTGATTTGTTGCTCGTGTGTAAGCACGAGCAACTCTTTACAATAATTACAGCTTTTAATTTTGTGTGTGTTTTGTGTTCTTGGGGGGTAGAAATAGCCTAAGCTACTCTATCCCTATGAGATGTATTTATTGCTTATCTCAATAAACATACTTGAACTTGAACTTGTGGGACCAATTAAGAAATGTTGGATATTAAGAGAAGAAGCAGCAGCGTTGTGTTGGGCACTTAATATGCTATATAACGGCTTAAAGGAAACAGGAGACCTTTCAGCAAATTGAAAGACAGGTGATGTACTGTCAATGCACAGAAAGGAAAATAGGAGTTATTAGACTACATATCAAAGACCTTTACTTACATAGCATGCTAATTGACGGAAAAGACCACAAAACGGGCTAGTAGAGCATCTGGAGAGAGAAGCCCTTCTAAGGAAATTCTTGTTCCCTTTACGGGTTGTCGGAAAATGTAACGCATTTCATAAAGAGGTTGTTGAAGCCAATTCCATCCACATCTTTCAAGAAAAATATGATCTCCACTGAATAATATGAAGTAAACTGAAATTATGAAGATCCATAGGTCTTAGATTCTGTGCACCTTCTTAAGGCACTGTTTTCAACTGGGGGGGTTCTGCAAGAAATATATAACAAATAGGATGGAAATATCAGGAGAAGAGCGAAGCCATTGCGACTTGCGTAGCACTTGGAACGGATCAGGCTGAGAATTTGGGATGACACAGGGGAAAGGAATTGTGCCCAACCACTTGGATGGATGAGGATTGAACACTGACCAGCATGAAGCAAGACCGTCACTACCGTTCAGGCCAAGCAAATAGAAAATAACCAAACTAAGTATTTATCATTAAAATATATATACTTTTAATGAAAATACAAGTACAGTATGTTTACGTGTATTAAGGGTTCCTTGGTGAATGACTGACAACTTACGAGAAAAGGTCCAACTTAGGAGAAAAGGTCCTTTTATTTTATTCAACTTGGTTTTTTCTCAGGGCAAATGTATCTTTACTACTATACAGTATATGAAAGTGAAAATTTTGATACAAAATGAATTCATTAATTTTGCTAAATACTGTATTCCTTTATCACATTCATATTAATTTTAAAGGAAAAGTATAATCCAAAAAGTAAATGGTAGTTAAAAAAAAAGTCATTGGTCATATTTAAAAAATTATTAGTTGGATTCTTTTTCAGTTCTTAATTTGACACAAAATTAAAATTTCATTAATTTGATGCAGAACTGTTTGTTTGAAGAAATATGAATCTATATAGTAAAATATAGTACTGTACTGATATCTTGTCAGAAATGAGTTGTACTAGCAATGTTAACAGTGTCTTTCCCATTGTTCAGTTTCAGCTTCTGCATGACGGTGAACCACGTGTACGCGTGTTTGCGCTCTATACACTCACTCACTGCCTCACTCTGGTCTCAAGTGTACCCAGATCAGATGCTAACATATTCCCCGAGTACATCCTTCCTAATCTTGCTGATGTAAGTAACAGTGTATCTATGTTGATAATACTTGGTTTGCTCATCTTGAAATGAATTAGATAAACATTACCCAAGATTTTTTTTTTTTTTTTAACATTTCTGCAATTTAGGTCATCTCAGTATTCCTCATTATTTATACTTAGTAAGGATTCAAGTTTTTAATGTCTGACATTCAACTGGGTTATTCAGGAATCTGGATGACATTCTAAAAACAAATTATATTTTCAGAGATGAACATTTTAGAATCATGAGTACTCTACATTTAATAAAGATAATAATATTGATTTGCAAACACATACACATTTGATTTATCCTGTAGTGGGATTATGACTTTAGTCATTAATACATCATTTATTAGTACCGGGTGGTTAGACTAACCTCCCAATGCAGGTTTGCTGTGTCCTGTGTCTATATTGTTTGCTTTTGAAGATTCTAGTGTTGTCTGCAAAGGATGATGCAGTTCTATAGTTTGTGTCCTATCAAATAATAAAGTGGACTTGGCAAAATAAATTAATATCTTATTTATTGCAGATGTTGCTTACCAGTTTTAGTCTAATAAACTTATTAGGTGTACCTGCTTTACACTATTTTGTTAGGGATGCATTAATTCTTGGTGATATAACCTTACTGTTAACTATTGCAAAATATTTTAAGTTCAGTATTGCTATTTATTTAATTGT